TCTCTTGGATTTCTCTAGGGGAGTATTCTGAGCAGGGCCTGTGATAACCAAGTTAAAGACAAAAAAAATCTTAAAAGCAGCAAGAGAAAAGCAATCAGTTACCTACAAGGGAGCTCTCATTGGACTGTAAGCTGATTTCTCAACAGAAACTTTGCAAGGCCAGAAGAGTCTGGCCCAAAATTTTCAAAGTGATGAAAATCCAGGACCTACAACCAAGATTACTCTACCCAGCAAAGCTATCATTTAGAATCAAAGGACAAATAAAAACCTTCCCAGACAAGAAAGTTATGAGTTCATCACCACCAGCCAGTATTACAGGAAATGTTGAAAGGACTTCTTTAAGAAGGAGAAAAAAATATGTATCAAAAATATGAATAAAGAATGGTAATAACTACATGTCTATCAATGAGTACTTCAAATGAAAAAGAACTAAATACTCTAATCAAAAGATAGGCTGGCGGAATGGATGAGAAAACAAGACCCTTACATAGGCTGCCTGCAAGAGAATCACTTAAGATTAAAAGACACTTTCAGAGACTGAAAGTAAAGGATGGAAAAAAAATACTTCATGATGGACCTAGAGGGTATTGTGCTGAGTTGAGAGGAGTAAGTCAGAGAAAGATAAATACCATGTGACTTCATGTACATGTGAAATCCAAAGAACAAAATCAACAACCACAAAACAGAAACAAACTCATAGAGACAGAGAACATTTTGAGGGTGAGCAGATGGGAGGAGGATTGGGGGAACAGGGGACAAGCGGGGAAGGGATTAAGAAGTACAAAACGGCCGTTACAAATAGTCATGGAGATAAAAAGAATAACGTAAGAAATACAGTCACTGATATTGTAATAACTGAATGGTGTCAGATGGATGCTAGAGTTACCGGCGTGATCACTTCGTGAGATATACAGATGTCTAATCACTATGTGGTCCACCTGAAACTAATATAATATTGTATGCCAACTGTAATTGAAAAATAAAAAAATATTTTTAAAAAGAGGACTTTTAAATTCGTCTTTAGCTTGAACTCAGTCAAGTCTGCTATTTTGTGGTCATTTTCAACTTGAGCTTGATACTTCCTTACTGTTTGGGGATAGAAGAATACTCAGGATCTATAGGGCCCGTTGCTTGGATGGAGACAAAGCTCTGAGCAGAGAAGGAACAACAGTGACTCGATGGCTCCTTAAAATTCTTAAAGAATTTCTCGCCTTGGAGTGAGGAAGGCTTTCTAATGGACTCAAAATGTAGATGCTAAGAAAGAAAATAACTTTAAACCTGAAAACAAAACTTAGAAACTACTGTACAGTTTAAAAAAAAAAAAAACATGAGCAAATCAAAAGACAAGTGACAAGGGGAGAGGGGAAAAAGTGACATGTCACAAAGGGCCAATTTCCCTTCTACACTCTAAGCTCCTGCAAACCAGTCAGAAGAAAAAGCAGCAACTCAGTAGAAAAATGGGCACAGATACAGTTAACAAGAAGGGAAATACAAATAGCTCTTACAGACAGGAAAAGATGCTCAATCTCACTCAGAATAAGAGAAATACTAATGAGTATTAGTCTGAAAGCAATTTTTTATGTGTGAATTTAATTCTTAAAAATCCAAACCTCTGTGAAGACACCGTGGGGAGGCACAAAGCTCGCACACATTGCAGTTGGTTGTGTGAATTAATGCAGCCACGAGGGTGGGGCTGTGGCCTTTATATGGAAATTACAAATTCAGAACTCCTTTGTGCCCAGTCTCCTGTCTGCCATTGCATCCCAGCCTCCTCCTTCCCCACCCTTTTCTTTGCTCTGGGATTCCTGTCTTCTATGGCTGCAGCCAGCAGCATCCTTGTTTTCTGACTTCTGGTTGATTTCACCCAATGCGGAGCCCCAAGGGAAGGGAGGAAAGATAGTGATGGGTAATTTATTTATCCCTCAGCCCCCACCGTGCACAGTCACCTTGGGCCGGCTGTGTCTGGCTTAGGTCATAGCTCCTCACACAGGAGTCTCTCCTTCCAAAGTCCAGTTGGGGCACCTTCTCTTTGTGCATCAAGCCCAGGGTGGTAACAGCCCCCGCTGTTGGTAGCTCCAGGTACTATACTTCCTTACGGTGTGCCTACGTCTTGCTCGCAGATTTGATTAAAGATTTTATTAAAGTGTCTTGCTTGAATGTGCTGTTTCCTGCTGGCACCCTGACCGATACACCCTTTTGCCTAGCAGTCCTATTTCTGGAATGTTTCCCTTCACTTAGACTTGTCTAAGTGCAGAATTATGCGTATCTAAGATAATTCATTGAAGAAAAGATTGGAAGCAAATCAAATAGCCGTCACCGACTGATAATATAAATGGACGCATGTCCATAGAATAGACAGTGCAACTATTTAGGAAAAAAAAAAAAAACCAAGGAAATTCTCTTTGATGTGAATGTAGAAAGGTCTCCCAAATATATATATTATTTATGTGTTTATTTTAATTAGTTTCAAGTATATAGTACATTGGTTAGACATCTATATAGTTTATAAAATGATCTCCCCAATTGCTCTCTCCCTCCCCTGGATATATTTTTAAGTGGAAAAAGCAGGGGGGAAATAATATACATTCATTTTTGTTTATGCATAAAGATATTCTGAAGGACTCACCAAAAATAAATAAATAAATAGATAAATAAATAAATAAATACATACATACATACATACATACATACATACATACATAAATGTGGATTTCTAAAGGAAGCAAGATTCTTCACTATTTACTTTTTTGTATGTTTAAAATTTTGGAACAAGATGACCATGTACCTAGTCAAGAGTTAAATTTAAAATTTCTCCCCAACCAGGTAGGGAATGGGGCCCAGAAACTGAGATCAGGCTGCTCACATACGAGGGAGTAAATGGTCCAGCTCCTAGGAGGGCACGGAAAGCCTGGAAGCAGGAACTTCCTGCTAGTCTTTCATTGTCTTGTTTTTGTCCATTCTTATCTTTCAACTTAATTAGACACTTCAGAATTTTGATCACCTCGTATCGATTTCTTTTCAGATGTGACCGTCAAGAAAGGACTTATAAAATAACAAAGATGCTTTTGAGCCAGAATGCCTCTTTGATTAGACCACTTAATTTGTATCTCATGGGTAAGTGTTACTTTTTATCATAGCTCTTATAGGAGCAGAGCCTGGGAAGCCATCATGACCAAGAGCCCTCTTAGGGAGTTGCAAATTGAGGACCCGCTGTCAGCCTGCCCAATGTCAAGAGCCAGATGGAGCACAGATAGGAAAGCCTGTGCTGATGGTTTGGATTCAATATGGGTTTCTGCCCTACTGTTAATTTTGGGAAAACAAAGGAACACGAATGACTTAAGGCTCAATAATGATGGGGAAAGGCCTCGTATGTAATTTGAAGAGTAATTTCTTTTAATACCCTCATTCTAATGCAAGGTGGAATTTATCACTCTACTCCTATATTTACAAAGAGGCCAGACCTCATATTTTTTACCAGTGTCACCAGACTGAAAAGTCATCCCTGAACTTTGGTTTTTACACTTCATTTATTTTTACTGATTTTATAGATTTTTTTCCTATGGTCCTATTTGTGCCTTTTCTCTACCTTTCTGTTGGTTCCATATCAGTATCATTGCATCATCTCTTCCATAGCTTATGAGTAAGAGATCTCTGAATGGGACATTGGAGCGTATAAATAACATCCTTGGCCTCCACCTATGAAAACTGCCAGTACCCCTCCCCCACAACTCATGGTGACATCCAGAAAACAAATGAGAAGCCCAATTCCCATCACCAACGCCTTTCTTCCTCCACCACGCTTGATAAATATCTTTAAAGTTTGTTAATTAGCATCATGCCTATTCACATTCTGAGAATTTTTCCAGACACATAACTGCTTCTCGGGATACTCCCTCAACCAGCCAATGCTTGTAATTTGTGTCAGCTCTCAAACAGATCTTATTTTGGATTCACTCAGGATGAAATCCCTGGACCACTGCCCCTAATACCAATGTCAACTCTCTAAGAACATCGACTCTAGCATTTTTTTTAGCACAAGAAAGTCTCGATCCAATATTAGCGCATGTGTGCAAATGAATGCCAGATGCAGAGCAGCAGTTATAAATCGAGCCCGGAGAAAGCACCATCGTCTAATGTGTTTTTCTTCCTCCTAGTGTACATTAGCCTCGTGTTTGGTACTTTGCAAGCTTTGCCTGGTAAGAGATTTTCTTAGCTTCACTAAATTTTGTGTAAGGGTCAGAGCGTTGGGGGTGGCTGTTCAGAAGTCTAGAATGTGAGAGATTTGGTTTCTGATCCCAGATCCATTGCCCATTTTGTGTGAATCTTTTTTCTCAAGTACTTTCTTTGTAAAAGGAGCCCAAATTAGCCATTTCTGGTTTTCACATTTGCCTCACGAAACTAATAGAAGAAATTAACACTAGTCATAATTTTAAAACCCCTTAAAAGAATATTCGATTTAAAACCCCTTAATAGAAGAATGAAGAGACACAGACTATGCCAAACAAAAAAAATGATCCGAAAATAATTTCCCTTTACTTTTCACCCTTCTATCTGTTATCCCCTACCTGATACCAGGTAAAGGAAAATAATTTTTTTAACTAAGCTTCTTGCTCACATAGATAAATCTGTCCACAAAACCATTATGCATTAAGTATGTGTTCAGCCTTGTGATGAGCACTGGAGAAAGAGTCAAGAACCAAGAATCAAAGGCCCAGGTCCTAACCGCAGGATACTTAGATGATCTTAAAAACTTGTAACTATTTAAGGCAGGATTTGACAAGCATAGCTTTAGAGGCTCATTGGCTGCTGCCTAACATTGCATAATTCAACGTCTCAATTTCACAGTCCATAGAATGGGTCTATTAATAGTACCTACTTCAGCCTTGTTGTGGGGATTAAATGTTTGAACATGTCTGGACGCACATTATTCTCTCCTTCTGGGGTAGGGAATGAGTTTAGGGCGGAATTCACAGGGGAAAGGCTTGCAGTGAGCTGAGCAGCTTAGGGAGGACTGCAGGGGGAGTTGGGAGTCAAGTTGAAAGAACGGGGTGGCCTGGGGTGACCTGGATTATTTTGATCCAGTGATCCACTGAGAGTCAATGATAATTGAGTGAGCTCAAATTCTGTTTACACAGTGCTAACTTCTTGTTTCCTAAGCTGGCCTGCCCTGATATTGTATTGCTCATTAACTGGTTGTATCAGTTTATTTCTCATGTTTGAGAAAACTGTTTCCTGCCTATGTAGCCTGCAGAGAACTTCTTTGCTTGAGGTGTGGGCTCCAAATCGCAAGGGACAGTCTAGACAGTGGCCAAGATACAGCCTTGGTTGGCACATTTCAGTGTTTCCTTTTTTTTTTTTTTCCCTCCTATTCCCTTTAGATGTTTCAGATGAGCCTTGCATTTTCGAGATAACGTTAAGAAATTTCCGGACAATTTTATCGTGGAAATTAAAAGACCACTCCATTGTACCAACTCACTATACATTACAGTATGCAATCATGAGGTTAGTTTGACGTTTCATTTTTCTCCTGCTACATACATTGTCTTTCTGTTATGTGGGAGTGGGGAAGAGGTGAGTTTACTAGTGACAGAGCTCCCCGTACTGTTTTTTATTCAGAATTTTAAAAATTCAAAGACCAAGCACAAATCCATTTTTAAATCAAATAACAATCCAAAGCTATTTCTGACAAAGCTCATATTTATAACCAAAACCAGTTTCTACAAGTCGAAGCCTCAGAAGCAAAATCATTATTGTATATCATTTTCACAATTATTTCTCTAATTCGATAAGTCCGAATGTTTAAAATTGGTATATTTTCTGAGGACAGGAGTCTAAAGATCTGGTGACCTTATTGATGGTTTGTGGTCACTTCTCTTTACTCAGAGAGGCATGGGGCACATCAAAAAGCCGCCTGGCCCACACTAGAAGAGGCTCAGATCCAAAGTCTGGCTTGATCACTAACCTGCTATGACCCTGGGCACAGAGCTCAATCTCTCTGAGATATTCATTCTACTTAGGAGTTGCTCTAACGATTAATGACATAATGAATGGAACCTTCTTTGGCTCTCTTCTTTCCATCTGGAACAGTCACCCTCATGACTCTTGATCCAGTAGCTCCTCAGAGTGTCCTTTTGTTTGTCATTTATTTAGCTTATAGCCGTTGCTACTGCTGACTGACCTGGTAGAGAAGGCCTTTGGCAAGTTTCTCCTTGTTGCCCACTAAAGTCTTAAATTTCTCTCTGCAGCAGGCAGTCACATGTATCACCCATCTACCTTTCTGAAACTCAAGAGATTAGGTGTCTGCATCATTCCTGTATAGCACAGGCTGACTTAGGACTGGGCCAGGTGGTCTTCAGCCGGAGCGGGGGATCTCAGGGAGGGTACTCATGATTATCCTGCAGGAGCAAGGACATCTGGGGCCTCTACCATGAAAGCCCAAGGTGTGCTCATTCATTCATTCAGCAAATATTTACTGAGCACCTGTTATATGTTAGGTGGTCCAACCACGAACCAATGTCCAGCCCTATTGGTCCAGACATTCCGAAAGTAGGCACAGACATCAATAAACAAATAAAGATAAAATGTGGCAGGTGGTGGTTAATGGTATGAATAAAAATAGATAGCTAAGGGGAATGGGGATGAGGGTGGGCAGGGCAAGATGAGGTGTTCCATTTTAAACGATATGTTTAGGCCAGATGACTCGATACAGTGACATTTGAGCAGAATCACAAAGGAATGAGGAAGGAGGGTATGGAGTTCATGGATTCTCATCATATAAATGCTAAAGTTTCCCTTTTACCATTTCTTTTCCTTTCAAAGTGGACCAGAAGATGTCATTACTGTGAAGGACTGTACCAATATCACAAGGTCATTCTGTGACCTGACAGATGCGTGGGTGAACATGTCTGAGACGTACACTCCCAGAGTAGTCGGACACCGAGGGAACAGGACGCTGGTCGACTGTGAGGGCAGCTTATTCCCGTTAATGGATAGTGAGTTGACCTCTCTTTATCATCTTCGCCATTGTCATCAAGATCATCATTATTTTCTCTGCCATGAAATAGGCAGGTCTACACAGGTGTTTTAGATTTGGGGCTAGTTCTGCCTCTTGGCCCTGTGACTCCCTACCTCTGTGACCGTGGAGTAGCTGCTTTGTTTCTCTGAGCCTCAGCTTTCTTACTCAGAAAGGGAGACGATCATCTGTATTCTGCTGATGATTGTCAATGCCTGTAGAAGGCCAACATCCAGGCAGTCATAGCTGCTACTTACCGGTTTGTTTTAACAACCACCTGACAGGATGTGGGGAGCAAGGTTCACATGGCTTATTATCTGAGCTGTGACACCTCTCTGGGCCAGTTGTCCTTAATACTGGAACCCCTCCTCCAGATCATAGCCCTCTATTATGTGTGAATGCCCAGGCGTGTGTGTGTCCAGGGTCGAGACTCAAGAGGAGGCTGGAGCCCAAGAGTGGACATGCCTTTTTCCCTTTCCCTGTGACTGGAGTCAGCTCCCCGGTGGCTCTCCACCAGATGCCATCACTTTTTCTGTGTCCTCCTTTGCAACTGGTTTCCGAGAGAAAGATTTGGTTTCGGCTCCCTATTAAAGTCTGCAATCCTATGTAGGCACTTAGCAAAGTGATAATGACCGCTGAATTCCACTGAAGCAAACAATTAGATACTTGTGAGATCCACTGGAATTAAGCGTGTAAATAGACATATCTGTGTGTATCCATAGAAAAGAATGAAAAGTGTAACTTACAGATCACGGTGTTCAGACCGTTAAAGAAAGTATATTAAAGTAATAACAGGATGTCATTTTTCAAGACTCACAATGGCAAGTATTAAAAATATTAACTTAAAACTGCTTAAAGTCTCATTCTTATAAAAAAAAAAAAATCTGTAAATACCCAGGTTTAGAGGAAATGTAGGGAGTATACTTTGGCACAGTCTTTCTGAAAGTATTTGGCAGTATGTATTAAAAACCTTAACACGTGCCTGCGCTAATCCAGAATTCCTCTTTAATAATTCGTCCTAAAGAAATTATGGGCAAATGCAAAGATTTTGCTCCAGGAATACAGATTCCATTCAGAAAAATTAGAGTCAATCTAAACGTTCGAAACAGTGAATCAGGTAAATCATGATACAACCGCTTAGCAGAACAGAATTAGCCATGAAAAGTTATGACGAAAATCGGGCCACCTGACTTTCTGTGAAGAGCCAGAGAATAAACACTTCGGACTTTGTTGGTCACATACGGTCTCTGTCACATATTCTTTGTTTGTCTGTAGCCCTTTCAACAATAAAAACCATTCTGAACTTGCAGGCTATGGAAAAATTCAATCCACAGGCCATAGTGTGTCAGCCCTTGATGTAGATAAATATGTATTAGTATGTTTATGACATAAGTGAAAATATTTACTATGCAAAAAAGTATGGATAAGAATGATTTAATTTTAGTTTAGGGGTGTGTGTGTGTGTGTGTGTGTGTGTGTGTACACAAGCTAGTTCAGTTTCTATATGTCTATATATGTTTACACACATACAACATGGACCGAAGATGATTAACCACATTCCGGGACAATTGCCTATCTATATTTTCTGACATTTCTACAATGGTTATGTATCATCATTGCAACATGGAGAGAAGTCATTTTTACTTCTGTGTTTAGAATACAGCCTGAAAATTGGGAAAGTACTGACTTCCATCCCAAAAATCTGTCCTCCGTTTCTTGTGGTAACATGAATCACATCGCTTCACTTTTATTGTTCCCAGTGTTTCACCAATAAAAATATACAGCCTCTGCCTCAGCTGGAACCAGAGGCAGCTTAACAGGGAGATAGCTGGAAAGAAGTTGGGCGCTATTGTGGCAGCGGAAGCGATCGCTGACTGACATTGGGGTTCGTTTCTGACTGTGTTTTCTGAACAGTGCCTTTGGAACCGCCAAATTTTGAGATTGCTGGTTTCACCGACCACATTAATGTGACAGTGGAGTTTCCACCCGTCCTGCCCAAGATAGTGTATAGCGAAGGATCATCGTTTTACTTGTCACTTGTCATCGAAGAGAAGTCAGGGAACATTGTTAAGAAGGTAGGTGGTCCAAACAGTTCTGAGTTGGCAATGAATACACTGGACACTCTTCTTAAAAAAAAAAAGAAAAGAAAAGAAAAGACATTTGTAATGATTTGCAAGTGTAAAACGAAAGAGTCTGGGTCAGCGTGGTTGGATTTCAGGAAAGAAGTCTCCATAGGTCATTCGTTGGGGAAACATGTTGACTTAGCCCAGCGGTGCGGTCTTCTTGCAAAGAATAAGAGGCACGCACGCCATCGAGTGGCACACGGAAGAGAGAGAGGCACGTGGCATATTCGGGGAGAACAGGCAAATTTCAGCACATCCGGGCGAGATTTTTTTTGAAAAGAATGGTTTAGCAGAACATAAAAAGCATCTGTCTCTACCTTCTCGCCCTCATGCATTGTAAGGGAAGTGGCTCTTTCCAGCAATTCTGTTCCTTCCTGATTCCCCAAAGGACCTACCTGAGTGCCAGTAACCTCAGGGTGAGCCTGGTATCACACAGTTCTAGATCTCGAATTATTTGTTTTCTCGATTCGTTCGCTTAGAATGCCGGAATGAGTGAAAATGGACAAACTGTGCTTTGCTGAGGGGCCTTGCTGAAATAGCAGCTTATGTTTGCATAGTTCTTTGCCAATTATAAAACCGTCGCGGGGAGCATTACAGACAGAGAGCACGGGAAGTCAGAGGTCCTGGGGCTGGAGTGGTCCCAGTGGGTTTGAGAAGCAGCAGGGAGCTGGAATGGAATGATGGAGACAGGAGAAGAGAAGGTGGTGAGGTCAAGGAGGGAATAGGGCTGGATCTTGTAGGGCTTTGTGGGTCCAAGTCTTTGGAGTGTGATGGAAGCTACTGGAGGACCCACAGCTCTAATAGGGCATCCTGGCTTGTATGTTAAGATTAGACCATATGGGCTAAAGTCAGAAGTTGGGAAATCAGTTAAGAGGCTATAGGGATGATAACTACTACTTAATAGGAAGTAGCAAGTTATACAATGATAATAATTTTTTCTTTACTACCGACCTGGATTATAATCAACATTCTAATCCTTTGATTAGGAAAAGGGAGCAAAAATAACAGAGGAGAAAATAAACTTATGCAGCGTTGACACTATATCGTTTCATTAAGTATATTTCAGTCACATCTAATTTATAGTCATCCCACGAGCTACTAACTCTCTGTTTTAGATTATTTCTAACATAAAAGACTTATGTTTATTAAGATATTGATAACACTGTAAGAGGAAAGCAATAGTTGATAAGCAATCTTCTTCATTAAAAAAATTTAATCTTTAAGTTAGGTCAAGAAAAAAAAGAAACTACTGGTGTTTATCCAGGTGACAGATGGTAGTGGCTTAGACCACGTGGTAGTAATGAGAAGTGGTCAGATTCTGCATATATTTTGCAAGTGGCACCAACAATATTTTTGGATGGGTTAGATGTACTTTGCGGTAAAGAAAGAGAGAAGTCAGGACTCGAACACTTTTAGCACGAGCACCTGGATAGATAGAGTTGCCATTAATTAAAATGGTGAAGATTATAGGCAGAGAGGTGGATGCTTGGGTGTCAGTAGCTCAGTTTCGGACATGTTAAATTTGAGGTACCTAGTAGGCATCCCAGGAGGGGTATTGAGCAGGAGTTGAATATACTGAGCCTGGAGTTCAGAAAACTCCCAGCGAGAGAGATGTCCTAGGGAGCTGTTGGCTTCTTGGTATGTATCGGATGTCTTGAGACCAGATGAGATCACCTGGGAGTGGTCATGCATAGAGAAGAGAAGATGTCCAAGGCCAGAGTCCCGGAGGACTCCAAAAGGTGGAGATCTAGCAAATGAGGAAGAAACAGCCAAAGAGACTAAGAAAGAACAACCAGCAAGGTAGAAGGAGGACTAGGTGAGAAGGAGGTCCTGGTGGCTGAGAGAAGAAAGTTCCGGAAGGAGAGAGTGATCTACTGAGTCAAATGCTATAAATGGGACAAGCTAGAAGAGGACTATGAATTGAGTTTTGGATTTAGGAACAGGGAAGTCCAGGTGACCTTGATAAGACAGATTTTGGCGGAGTGATGGGGAAAAGACCTGGCGGGAGTGGGTTCGAGAAAGAGAGGGAAGAGAGAAATTGGAGACAGTGAAGAGAGCTAAGTCCTCTCAGTTTTTCTATAAAGGGAAGGAGAAGTACACAGTGGTAGCTGGAGAGGAAGCGCTGCCGAGGGAGGGACTTTTTAAAATAGAAATTACAGCATGTTTTTATGCATATGGAATGTTCTAGTAAGGAAGGACATTGAAACAACGCCCTACAGGAAATGAGAGTGAATGGAATATCATGAGCATGGGGTTGGCTTTGGCTGGGAGCAGGGACTCTGCATCCAATCACAGCAGCGGAGGCAGAGTGTGAGGCTCAGAGGCATGTAGGAGGGAGCTGGCGTTGCAGACTTAGTCAAGGCCACACAATGGCAGTGCCAGGTATGGAACCCGGATGTGACAATCAGCCACTATTAAACACTGTCCCACCGTGACACTTTGTGCTTCCGTCCTCTTTCTTCTTCATTGCTTATTTGCCATGCATGAGCTTTTGGTTTGTTGGTTGGTTTTAAAATAATCCTCCCTCCTTTCAAATAGAAACCTGCAGAAAAAACATCACAGAAGGCTATATTTGAACTGCTAGAAACGCTAATTTATAGAACTAGTAAGAACGTACTTTGAAAACTGTAAGGCTTTATACAAAAGTTATTTTTCGTGAACGAACCTTCATATCATCGCTTTAATTCCAAAACAGAACAGAACTACCTAGGAGAGGAGAGGCAAGGTGTTTTAAGGGAGAAGACAGGGAACTAGACATCAGCCTCAATTCTGCCACAGACAAGCTGGGTGGCCTTGGGGAAGTTACTTAACCACTCTGAGCTGCGGGTTCCTTGTCTGGAGAGTGAGAACAATGCCTAATTAGCACACTGTTTTGATAGTCCAGTGAGTTAATATGTATGAAAGCACTGTCTAAATGTAAAGTAGACATATCATTAATGAAATAAGATAATCTTATTTTTGCAAGCTTATCTTATTGCAAGAAATAAATGATATTTCTATTCCTATTTAAGACCTGAAGACGAATTCTCAAACATACTGTTAGGTCCTGCCTCTAAATGAAATTCTACTCAAAGTCTTACTGATCTTCTTTCTTATTTTTACAGCATAAACCCAAAATCAATGCAGACATCGCTGGGAATTTCATTTATGTCATCAATGAGCTAATTCCAAACACAAACTACTGTATATCTGTTTATTTTGAGCCTTCCAATCTGGGAACAATAAATAGATCGCCTGTAAAATGTACCCGTCTTCAACCCGAACAGGAATCAGGTATGACAGTTTTTAAAAATTCACGTTTTGCTTTTACCATGAGGGAAAACCTATTGAAAGAAAAGAATCCGAAAGTCGGGGAGAACCAATGGTATTTCTTCCAGTAAAGGCACATTGCGGCGACGTTTTCTGAAGATCATTCTCTACTGAGCGGTGGAGTCACTTTTGTGTGGCTGTACCATAGCAACAGCCGGTATCTACCTTTATAAGGTCAAAATCCTCCTGAAGTAGAAACACTTTGATTTCAGGAGTCAGGACGAAGTTCATTTCTGTGTGTTCTTAGCTTGGGTGTTACTCAAGCCAAGTGCCAGAGGAAGCTAGGGAGCTGGAAGCAGCTGCAGGTGGAGGTCTCCAAGGGTGGGATGATGGGTGCAGGTGACGAGCTTGGGTGTGGGTCGTAGATATGGCCTGGCTCTCGGGAAGGTTGACTGTAGCTCACAGATGAGCGGGAAACCTGACCGTGTAGATGACAGAGTCGCTGACAAGGTGTAGCTCTTCCGTTGCAAAGTCATCGGAACGGTCAGCAGCCTGATCCCCGAACCGTCCTCTGAACGGAGAAATTGGCAGGGAGAATAATGGGGCTTCGGGACATTCACTGCTGTTTACTTTCTCAGGAAGTCACTTGGTCTCCAATTGTTTGGCCACAAGTAAAAATCTATGCATCTCTCCCCCAAAGAAGCCTTTCTGAGTTTCCTGTCCCCAATGAGAGTTTCTTTACAGTTTTCATTTACCAGAGTAAAAATAAAATAAGGTGAGACCGATGAGGAAGTAACTAAGTGGTATGCTTCTTTGTGGATTAAGTGACTATGCTACATAGTGCCTGGCACGTAAGGGTGCTCAGCATGATTTTATTCTCCAGGATTCCTCAGAGTCAAATGATGCATAGACTAGTTTTAAAAGAGAAAGCATCCTAAACTTTTAACTTAAATTATTTTTATAATGTCGGCGAAATGTGGGCAAACCTAAAACTGCATAGATTCTTTATGCCTGTAGCTCTTACAAACACAAAAACCCAAAACAAATGTATGTATTTATGTACTAACACTGATTCTCCAGCATCAGCCGATGATTTGATTCATTTCTGACACTAACTACCCAGAGTTAGTGCAGGCCCCACTAACTAAGGTTAAAGGGCTCAGTCCCACGAGACTGCCCGCTGTAGACAGATGCCTGTGTCAAGGCCTAGGTCCCTAGGCTACCCAGACTTCTGCCCAGCCTGGCTATAGATTCAGAGGTTCCTGTGACCTCCCTTCAGAGTTAATAATGCTCTAGAATGACTCAGAACTCGAGAAAGCACTATACTTAATGGTTACCTGTTACTTATAAAGGAAGCAAAGGAACGGCCAGATAAAGAGGTACATAGTCTGGAAGGATCCCAAGTGCAAGAGTTCTGTCCCCTCGGACTCAGTACTTCCTTCAATGACCTGGAAACTCCCCAAGCCTTCCCGTTCAGAGTTTTTATTGGGTTTCATTACATAACCATGATTGATTAAATCATTGGCCATTGGTGATTAGCTCAACCTCCAGCCCCTCCCCTGGAGGTCACAGAGTGGAGCCAAAAGTTCCAGCACTCTAATCACATGGTGGGTTCCCCTGGCAACCAGCCCCTAGACTAGGGAGCTTTGCAAAAGTCACTCATTAACATAAATCCAAAGGGGTTTGTTATGAATTATGAAAGACACTCCTTCTACTTTGGCCCTTATCACTTAGGGTAATCAATCTGTAGAGCTCTACGCCAGGAATCGGGTCAAAACCCAAAGAGATTTCTTATTATAAATCACAACCTCACACTAATGGAAACTCTAGTCATGTTAAGGAACAAAATTCAACTGAGCAAATTTGAAGATCTAATTGGCTTTATTAAGCGATTCATGCAGCAGGCAGCATCCTGCCAAGCAGCTATGTGTTGCTCAAAACAGGTTTTTGTAGTCAGAAAGAGAGTGGACTAAGAAAAAGGCATGGATTATTTCAGGCAAAGACGCCTTCCCTTGGAGGAAGACTAGGGGTCTTATCAGGCGGATTACCTCACTAGCTCGATCAGAAAATTCCAGACCGATTTGTTTAAAATTCCACTCCTGGGGGAGGCTAAAATTGCAATTAGGTTAGTTATTAAGTTTTTTGTTGTTTTTTTTTTTAAACAATCTTTACAACCACCCTATACAGTAAGGATTCATCTCCTTTTACAGATGAGGACTCAGGAAGAGAAGCCAGAGGTTACAGCTAGTGACAGGTGTTGCTGGACGAGAGCCCCTGGGACCAATCCATGGTGGCCTGCAACTCTAGCCACTGCCCTCGCTGCCCTTTTGTCATTTCTGCTCTGTAAGGAGGGCCGATCTTTCCTCTTCTCTCTCTTGTATCTGTTTTGCCTGAGGCTGTGGTTATGAGATTAATAGTAATAAAGATCTTTCCGGAAATGTAAGAGAGCCTTAGTTACTGTTAAACAAAGACCTTTGCGTCTAAGAGCATTTCTGAAAGAAAGGGTTGATTGAGCCACAAGGTAGCTAGAAAAAGACCAGGTTCTGGAACATACCGTCTAAACCACCAGCAGCAGGGCAAGGTGAAGACACGTCCGACATCCTGGGGCCGCTGGGCTCTTTGATACAGTGAGTTTGGAGCAGAATGATGTAACTTGTTTTGAAAGGGTGGAAAATGTGAAGCCGGCCAGTACTAGAACAGGTGTGAGGCAGGACAGGTAGCCTGGGAACGAACCCTCCCCCTGCAGGATGTGGCTCCATGCTCTTTGCTGCCCCTTCCCTGTTTTAGTCCTAGCAAGGGGAGACCAACCAAAACAGGCCCTGCCCGTTCTAGCTGCCATCTTTGACCCGAACCTGACCTTTGGCTAAGCATAGTGTCGTCTGCAGTGCGGTTACCCAGGTCCCCATCATGTACCTGACACCATGACAGCTCCGGAAATGCCAAACAAGGAAGAAAGAGTGGGAGACCCAGCTCCCCGCCCACTGGGCAAAGACAAAATAACCACGTCTCCACGCCTGCCCCCCCCCAGCGCCCCAATAAGCACAAAACACCACAAGATGCGGACATGCTTGGCACCCCTGGGTCTCATTGCTGCACCTCCCTCTCGACCGTGTCCTTTCGCTCCAGGAAACCTCGCACATTCCCGCCTGACATTCATCTTGTCCGCGAATTCTTTCTCCCAACATAAGGCAAGAAGAACCTGGTCGCCGAGCTCAGCTCTGTTGAGTTCTCTCTAGAATGTCCGTCCCCAACCAGCTCTCCAGTATCAGGTGTACAGTCCCTAAGGAAGAAATATTTACTACTTATTGACTGGTTTTGGACCATCAAGTTCGTATATATAAGCATGAACTGGTGGTTGTTTTTTTTTTGTTTGTTTCGTTTGTTTTTTTGTTTCGTTTTGTTTTGTTTTAGATAGCTACCTGGAAGTCGATTCAAAGTTTCAACAAACATTCAAAACTGTGGGAAGCCTTGGTATCTGCCCACAGCTGTCTCTCCCACTCCCTGGCTCACTGCGGTTTAATTTAGGACAGCCCAGAATTTTTCTCTTGTTATTACATAACTACTCAGATTTCTTCTCAGTCCAGTGGAACTTATGGAAAAAACTATTTCCGTTCCGAATGTTGACATTTTCCAAAGGGAATTTTGACAAAGACTTGTAACAGGACAAAGCGAGTTCAGCAGTAGCCGGAGTTGAGGTCCCAGTGTGGCCAAAGTTCAGCCTCAAAATGAGCCTATTGTTTTAGGCGTACCCCTGTTTCCCACCTCTTCCTGCCCACAGTGCACACGGACACGTCTGCTGAGCATGTCACATGTGGCCACTGTGACTCAGAAACCGAGGGCTTATTTTCAGTTGTGCTCACTCAAATTTAATTAGTCACGCGTAGCTAATGGCGACCATATTGGACAGTGCAGTCATAGAACATAATCATAAGCTGGAAGAAATGTTAGGGTTAAAAACTAAATCTGGGGAGCATTTGAAATCATGTTCCCTGACATGTGTTGTTAGTTTGGCTCAAATAAACTCTTACAAAAATTCAAACAAACAAACAAATAAATAAATAATCATTTTTATCATTTAAAAATTATATACTTGGATTACTTTCCATTTTTTATTTTTGTATTTAACAATATTTTGTCCAACTTTTGCTCTCTTGATATCTCCTTTGTCCACCAGACCAGTGTGCATTTGTTCCTTCCTGTGAACATCTATTGGATTTATTTGGAAATAAAGTTATTTAATTTCTCATCAACAGAGCCATCAGAATCTGCCAAAATAGGAGCATTGATTACTCTGTTTTTGATAGCAGCTGTCATCATGAGCACCATAGTAACACTGAAACGGATCGGTTATATATGCTTAAGAAATGAGTTCCCCAAAATGTTGGTATGTAGTTTTTCTAATTTCTGTCTGTTTTTTATTTTAACAGGAATTTTTCTTATCTACGTAAATACTTTCACAGAAGAAAATCCCATTTTCTGAAAACACCAAGGTGTTTCAACACTCTGGGTTCTTTTCCATCTTTATAAATATATTTTGCATTTTATATTTTCTTTTTCTACCTTGTCTACATATTATATTTAACGATCACATCCTATTCCATCGTTCTGAACGTATCATTTTTCCTTAATCATTTCCCAGGTGTGAGGCATTTGGATTAATTTCTTTTTCATTTCTTTTCCTTTGTTTTCTTTCTTTTTTCAGCCATTAAGAATTAATTGTCTTTGTATTTTGGATTACTACAGTGGAACATACACAAAGTGGATCTGTCTTATAAAAAGTTAAAGGAGTGATTTATAATGCCAGTGGTGACATGTTAGTGGGCACATTTCTCCAGACATCTGCTGACCTCGATTAGTCATTTTTACCACTTTTGTTCACTTATTGTGGGTATAACAGCCCCCATAGTTGCTCTCATTCGTATCATTTTAATTAATAGTAAAACCAGCCACTTTACTTGGGTTTCTTCTCTGTGCTTCCCAAGGCACAGACTTTCTGTCCAGAGCCTTAACCACTCCACCGAGTCTGGGTGTTGCTCTTACGTGATTCTAAAACCTCCTCATGTCTTTGGGCTCAACTTTGCCCATCACTTATCATTTTCCCTGTCTCATTGCTGTCTGTATTAGTTTTGCAATTTTTCATTCGGAAACATTTTTCTATGTTTCAACTCATTCACCTTATTCTTATTTTTTTTTTTTTTTTTGACAACCACATATGTAAATATTCTTCTGCAGTTGATAAAATTGTACTCCTTTTTCTTGTTAGTTTTACTGGCTTGGGTGGGTTGGGGAAGGATTGTTTATTAGGGTGGTGTGCGTACTTTTGGAGATTTTAATTAAAGTTAGTATTTTGACGTTCGGCTGTGCCTTATGAGAAGTAGATGGCTCTGTGTTGGGTTTCACACTGTGATCCCTGTCTTGCAAGAATAGATGGTTTTTGTCTATCAGTGTGACATATCTCCTTCATCCCAGCTCTTCCTATCTACCACACATGGCTTTGGCCTTGAGGTCTTAGGTAAATCCTACTCCAACTAATATTTCTCACATGGCCTTGAGATATAAAGGCCCTTAGCATCACCCCCGTACCCTCCTAGATAAATCTTGTGACTGAATTACCTAAACTCATGACTAACCCTCCTCCCAGGTCTCCCTGGGGTTCCTCCCCTCCTTAAGATGCATCCAAATTATATGGCAATTATATATACTATTATGTTAATCCCAAGTAATGACAGGAGATGTTGTTGTCTTGTGTATGTCTAGTATTTCTCCATTAAAAATTGTTGCTCTGTGTTTAAGTAGAAACTCTAGGAACAGTGAAACAGAACCCTCTAGGTCTAGTGTGTCTGTGTATGTATGTTTAATCAAGAATAGATGTTAAAATATTTTTAATTACATCTCTTCTTAGTTCTTTTTCTTTTTCTTTTTTCTGCATCGAACGAATATTTTTTGAGTATTTACTCTGTGTCCCCATGTTCTAGATACTAGGGATATAGAAGTGAACAAAAATGCCCTGCCATCATGGAACTTCAGGTCTGAGGGGTGGGGGCAGAGACAGTGTTTTGTAGATGGTATGACTGGCTAAGTAAAAAATTCACATGCATCTAGAGATAAATTATTAGGATTAATAAGTTTAGCAAAGTCTTTGCACACAAAATAATCGATACAAAGATGCTTGTATTTTTATATACTAGCAACAATCAATTAGAAAATAAACACGAAGCTGCTTTTCAACATCCAAGAAATGAAGGATACAAATCATATAACGTGCAAAGTCCTAAAAGTAGCGCCCAGCAAATAGTAAACACTGTATAACTGTTAGCTATTATTGTTGTTGTTGTTGTCACTGTCCTCATCACTGTGTAATCCATCCAATTGTTTTATGATGTCAGAAAATAAAAGAACACACACTCAGAATTGATAGTCTCTCTCTCTTTCTCTCTCTCTCATTTTCCTTTAAAGAAGTTTGATAACTTCTCAGCCTGGATATTTCCTGAGCTGCCACCGTTGGAACTGGTAACCGTGTTGGAGGTCATTCCCATCAACAGAAAGAAGAAAGTATGGGATTATAACTATGATGAAAGTGACAGCGATGACGAAGCAGCCACCCGAACAAGTGCAGGAGGCTATACCATGCACGGACTAACAGGCAGGACTCTGTGTCCGGCCTCCACCTCTTCTGCCACCTTGGAGGGCTGCAGCGACCCAGACGCCCCAGACACCCCAGACGCCGAGGAAACTGACTCGCCCGAGCCTGAGGCTGAATCTGAGTCTCTGATGGCACCAGGACCTGAGTCAGAATGCACATGTGAGAATGCCTACGAGAGGAGAGAGACTGTGCTGACGGACCTCTTTTCAGAGGAGGACAGCAGCTCCACTAAGGGATCCAGGGACAAAACTATCTTCAATGTGGATTTAAATTCTGTGTTTATGAGGGTCCTCGACGACGACTCAGAAGTCCCTCCAGTGTTATCTCTTCCAGAAGAGACAGTCGACCTAGAGGATCCCGAAGAAATGGAAACAAGCCTTCTGGTGGCCAGTGGAGAAGGGTCACAACCATCCTTCCCCAGCCCCTCTGTGGAGTCCAGGTGGCGTGAAGATACTCCTTCTGAAAAAAGTGACACTTCCAAGTCTGATGTTGACACTGGGGATGGTTATATAATGAGATGATTCCCAAAATATTGAATTAACTTGGACTGACGGATACCTCCAGGGTTATCTTTCCTGTACCCTCACCCGCTCCTGCGGTCTGCAGGTGTTCTCTGGGGGAAGGACTTGGAGACCGCAGAGTCGGCCCCATTTTTCCTGATGACATCACCTGTGCGAATTCCCAGTATGGGGGAAGGAGAGGCGGGAGGGACACCTAGGATCAGTATAATTCTGTGCATTGTTTACCTGTTCGAAGTGGTAGGCTTTGAAGGGAAAAAGGCCCTGCCCCCATGTTCATGCATTTAGAATGTTTCTGCCTCATGTTTCCCAGTGTAAGGAGCAAGGTTCCCTGTGGTTTTCAGGGGTGCAGTGGGGAGGCAAAGGGGAGACACTTAACCGGGTTCACAGCAGGAGCAGTCAGCAGTGTTTTCCACAGGCTCAGGGGAAGAACAGGAAAACAGGCGGAAAAAGAGGTGGGAGGGCAGACCACACAAGGGAGAAGAGGGGGCTCCCCGAGAATGGAAGCACATATTCCAAGTTGGAAGTAAGGAAGGTCCAGCCAAGTCTCGGGCACCTCACAGATGACATATTCTGTCACCTACACTCTGAGACTTTGACTCTCTGCCTCTCGTCCAGCCCTCCTCAATCTGAGACAGACTTTCACACAGAAATAACTCCAGTGTCAGGCAGGTCCTTAACCGAGGAAACAAACATTTGCATGAGGGAGGGGGATAGAATCTCAGTGCCATATTTTAAGATTTTTTTTTTAAAAAAGCAAGTGAGGAAACATGCAAAAGTTCTTCAAGGTCTTCAGAAGAAATAAGGCATAAAATTCCTACAGGTCACCTTTAACGATGTCAGAAGTCCTGTGTGTGCTGACGCCACATGTCCTAGGTGTGACTACAGTCCCTGTGAATGGGGAGGCGGGGAGGGGGTTCTAGAATAACAGTAGCCGACAGTGCAAAGGACTGGGACTCAGAGGCATGACGGCCACCGTTTCACTGTGTGACCATGAGAACTTTGCTTCGTCAGTCTGAGCCTCAGCCTTTTTCCCTTGTGAAATAAGAAGGTGGGCGTAGGTAATCTCTAAGATACGGTGATGCTAGGAGAAATATTAGAAAATACAGAGGAATAAAGGGATAAATATTAGAAAATACAGGAGCAGGGTGCTCTGACCTTCCTTCTGAATCTATGCAAAAGGGGAAAAACAAAAATTAGATGAGTCCTAGTGCAAGAACTTCTGATAATTTTTATAATTGCTCTAAGGTGACTCAGAGGAGGGGGCCGTGAGAGGGGAAGTGTTACTTAATCTAATGAAATTCCATAGCAAAGGGACTTGATCCTATACGTAGGCCATTCGTCCTCTGAATGCATCGACCCCATTTTGGAAGATTTCCAGAGTAATCTTTTGGGATAACCGCTTTATGGCGGCGTGTGTGTGTGTTTGTGTGCGTGTTTAAATTTTGTATAATAACTGGAGATTGGTAAACGGTAATGTCTTCAGAGTCGTTTCTTCCTAGAAAGGCTGACTATACGTGCAGCGGATCTGTGGTTCTGCTGACATCTCTACAGGTGCACAAAACTGCCTTTCCCTCTGTGTGGCAGCCTGCAGGGGTCAGGGGGACAGCCCCCGCCGCGCTCACATGCCCGTGGAGTGTCCCTGCGTCAGGCGTCAGGCGGTCCCTGTTACTTACCCGGCTCTGGGTTTTCCAACCTCACCACGGCGCAAGTTTAAAAAGAGGAATTTAAGCCTTTCCCAGCAGCCTGGTGAGGGAAACGAGCTATTGCCAAATAAATGACTCGGCTTTGTGTCGTTTACCCCTGGGGGGAGGGGATAAAGAAGACCCTCTCAAACTGGGCACGCTACTGGAGTGCTTTAAAATCAGTTTATTTGCGGGGAGAGAGGATTTTTTGCAGGCCGTGCCGGTTCGCTGGAGAAAACTTGGGGCTGCCGCTCTCACTGGTGTGAAGCAACAGCACGACCACGCATGTTTCCACCGGCCAGACAGCGCCTGGGGGATGGCTTCGCGGGCGCTTCACCCGAGGGCGCCTTTCGCGGCATTTGCTCTCAGCGCCGGCGGGGGCGGCCCCCAGGTCGGAGCGCGCACTTGCAGCTTTGCAACCTGTTTCGCTTAGGTGTTTGCCCCTCGCGCGGAGGGAGGAGCCAGGTCCTCTCGCTCCTCGTCCGCCCCCTGCCCAGCCCGCGACACCTGC